AGCGAACACACACCAGGAGCACCCAAAATCTCCACAACGGATTCGTGGTCGCCTAATCGTGATTATCAAACCATTGGTTCTACGAAGGAGAGAAAAAAGAAGCTCGACCTCAGATGAGTCGATGACTTACGACACTCACGAAGTCCAGAGCCAATTCAGCAAATCTTTGATGGAACTCGGGAGAACTAAGAGCACCAACTGCTGCTGTTTATGGCTACTAACCTGAGGCCTAATGATCAAGGGGAGAGGTACCAAAAGGGCAACAGTAAATTGTAAAATGGCAATAAAATCGCGGTACAGTATTTAGAAGGACCTTTCGACCCCTTCCATCAGGTAGAGAAAAATGCGGGGTCACCAAGATTTCTTTTGCCTTTTCAATTTGTTGAAATTATCCAGAGTTTGAAGCACACAACGCTCTGGTCAGTCTTGTCGTTGGCTCCACATTATGCGGCAAAAAGGAAGGACCAAATGACGGTGATACTCTCACAGAACTGCATTTCAAACCGGCAAAATACAACAACAACTAGCAGAAGGTTTTAATAATAAATATTAAATTTGTATGTTTTAACAAACACCACGGAAGGCTCACTCACTCTCCAACCCATACTGACAAAAGACTATCACGTGTCGATTCACAAGAAAAGGGTGTGTTGTTTGATCAAATCAAGGTTCGTCTACCAGTGATGATGCAGAAGACGTCATCATCATTAATGCATGTGGTTTGCCCTTATGCGCGCAAACTCGGGAACCCTATTTTCGAGAACCTGTCTTAAAAAGGTTAAATGCAATTCGTAATAGGGTATGAAGGGTAGACAAAAAACGCCGTCAAAATCTACCTGACCATGTGCGAATAAAAAGGGAGCGCATTCTCAATCGAATGAGAAAAGTGGTAGGTCAGCGACCGAGCCTGACCCCCTTCCGATGGCAAGGACATCAAGGAAATTGGGGAAAGAAATTGCTTGGTTAACGGTTTGGAGGTAACGATGGAAGGATACGAAAAAAAACCAGAGATTCGGTGGGTGGGTAAGGATACTTCTGCCTTCCAAATCACGTGAATTTTGCCAGATGCGGCCATAAAACCAGTGCATGAATTATGGACCCGGCTATGAAGGGGGAGCCCAATTTCGAAGATAACCCAATCGTCCAGGCGCGCGGTGACTAAGCTACCGTTGTGGGGACAGAAACCTAATGTATTCATATGGCTTGTAATCAAAGGCCACCAATAAACAAATAAACGTCAGGATAGACAGCAATAACCGCAAGCATTTACTCCGGTCCAGAGGAAATAAGATAGGAGGTGAGGAAAGAAGAAAAGGACAAATCGTGTACTACAGATAACACCATATCGGAGCGGGAGATTAAGCGGCAGCGTCATCAGAATGACCATTCGGAGAGGGATTAGCAGTGGAAGTGGTGGTCGAAGCAGTGGTGACAGCACCTCCGGTTCCAACCATCAAGGAGGGCTCTTCAGTGGACGACACAGCTGAGGGGGAAGAGGAAGGGGGAAAAGAGGGCTTAGTCGGCTGTACAACGGTCGCCAGGGGCGGTGGACTGGCGCTAAAAGCGCTCGCATGCAGCGGTATCTCTGAGTGCACAGAGCCTCCAAGGGAGGAGAAGGAAGTGGATTTACATGATAGTGTCGATGTTGGAGCATGGTTACTACTTCCATTATGATGATGTTGATGATGATGGGTGGGCAAACGGGGTCCAACCTTTCCGAGAGGTTGATATGTCGAAGGAGGCCTCTGTTGTTGACATGAGAAATCGATTTGCGAGGTTGCAAGGGAGGCGTGACTGGTCATGAGTGGAACCATGACAGGTTGCTTAAGCAGAAGACGCGAGCTTCGATAGCTATTGTCCAAGAGGCCCGTATGACTGGACGGCGTGGCTCTACCCGAGAGAGGAATGAATTGGGGCACGTAGGCAAGAGTACCATTAGCCAACATGACAGCTGTGGGGGAGCCAACCTCTGGCACGACCATACTGCAGACGGGAATACCATTTTCATCGTACAAGATCCGCGAACTCGTCTGACGCAATGAAGAGGCTGACAACTCGCCGTCATCGTTGTCGGCTAGGGAGATCTGATAGCTTGATGCGGGAATGTAAGTAGACGTTGTGGGCCTCTCCCTCCTTTCAGCCTTCAATGTACTACCGCCCGACTTTTCGTCCCCCTTTGGAACCGACCCATACATCCAACGTCTCCGACGGCACATAAGAATTATCACCGTGAGCAGTATAAGGAGCAAGAAGAGAACTCCACCAACAACGGAGCTGATGATGAGCTCTCGCAAGCTCAATGGCTCAGTTCCCGTAGTAGGGGTGGTAAGCCCAGACCTTGGTCGAACAGTTGTGTTTTTCGTGCTAGGAGTAGTAGTAGTGGTGGTAGTGGTAGTAGTAGTGGGCGGTATACATACACGGGTCGCATAAGTGATGATCGCCGGATGTGTCGGGAAAACATCAGACCCCAGCCAGGAGGCAGGGAGGCAGGAGAGCCGAGGTACCTGCTGAATCTCCACTCGAGCCAACTTCTGACACTTCATCCAGTCGATTGGAGGAAGGATAGGTAACTCTTGACCCCGATCCACATCGATGTGGTTCATGATAAGGTGGGTGAGAGAGGCAGGACACCCAGAGGAGAGCCACCATTTGGCAGTTTCGGTGTAAACACTTCGCATAAGGGGATTCAAAGATACATCTAGGAGATTCAGATTAGCCAATGCAATGCTGAAATCCGGTACAGAGTTTTTCAACCCAAGAATGTTTAGTAGATTGCCAGAGAGATCCAAGTGCTTCAGACTAGTGAGGCCTTCAAATACATCAGATGAAAGGGTGGAAAGTTTGTTATTTGCCAAAGAGAGGATTTCCAAGAAAGGGAACAAGTTGAAAGTCCCCGACTTTAGATACGTCAGACTGTTGTTAGCCAGATTGAGGGAGATAAGACGGCTAGCCGGCCTTTCCTTACTAATTTTGGGAAAGCCCCATCTCACGAAGTCAAGCTGTTCAATGCGATTGCTTGCAAGGTCTAAGGTCTCCAACTGCGGAAGACCAGAGAAGGCAGACACACCGATACCCTTGAAGTTGAGGTTGTGATTTTGAATTAGATGAATTTCATTTAATGTCTTCAAGGCGAGTCTATCAAAGAGACCCGGTTCCAAACTATCCAAGCGAGTGCTCCGAATCACCAGAGCCTTTAAATGATTCTCCTGGAGACCAAAGAGCCTTTGAAAGTGGTTAGCAGTAAGAGCAGTTAAACTCCCACCAGTGATAGAAATACGATTCAATTGAGCTGTACATGGTCGCTTGGGTGGATCGGGTGGCCAAGAATCAGGAGATAGAAGAACATAAAGTTCAGTCCATCTGGACAAACAAGTGTCCATAGCCGGCCATCGCAAAGTAAAGTTTGAGTTGGCAGAAATCTGTCGCTGACCAGGTAAATAACATTGGACAGGCGAGGAATAGTCCGATGGGAAGAGGCAGCAATGAGCGACCTTTTCTGATGGACAATAGCATCCGGAAGGGCAGAGAAGGGCCTCTGTGACGGCAAATGCAAGGTTGGCTAGTAGGAGAATAAGGATGGACTTCAACATTATTCCACGTGCTTTCTCATTGAGACAGCATCACCGCGCACAGACAATGAAGGGGAGGCCTGCTAGCTAAATATGTTTGCTTGAACAATAGGTGCGCCAGTCGCGGTGGGACTGCTCGTGCGCACTTGTCAAGTGGTACGCTAGACAAATAGGCGACCAATCACTATTCCGTCTTGTTTTCATTGGTTAACAAGGGCACTAATCAGCTTTCTCCAAATCTAAATAGACTATTGGCGGTAGTTCTAATCCTCGTGCGAGAGTTTTCCACGTGAACTGAAGGGTTCCGTTCGTTATTTGTTCTCCAAACAGCAGTGGTTGAGGCACAGATGGGTGAGTGCGAATCTTACAATGAGGGAGAAGTGTATAGAGTGGAAGGGATGGCGGTTTTCTGAAAAAATGGTGGAACCAACTTTGAGGTCATTTGATTCATGCTGAAGCTGATCTTGAGTAAAAGAAACATTTCTTTGATAGCGTCGTAAAGCGATCTACGAATGCACTAATTGATCATAAGAATGAGATAGGATACAAAAGCAGACCGACATAACGATGACACTGTCTTCTATCACACATGACACCAATCACTCAATTCTGTCCCACGTCATTGCTAGTTGACCATCCGGTGTGGTATGACATATGACACTATGTCCTCTGCATTGGTGGCAAAAGTTTACTCCCAGGCTTTATAGAAGGCTTCCGACTAGTTAAGTGGGATCAGAACAGCCGAGGAAGTTGCATGGATATTGTTTTTTGCCACCTTAGCTTTGAAGTTGCAATAAAAAGATCCGAAAACCAACCAGGTTCAGATTAAAGGAACTGTAAGGCGGCTGTGGAAAAATGATGACAGACTTGCTTGTTAAGTTGTGGTAAACAGTAACCTCAGATAGCTGACCAATTAGTTATTAAAAAGCGGTAAAATGATAGTGGATAAGCCCTTCTCAAACATTTATCTCCACTACAGCCCCTTGCAGGGAACACAATGCACGAAATCATCGTTAGATTTGCTAGTCTCTGCTAAAAGAGAGGAAGAACAACTGACAGTCAAGCTGGCCTTTTCCGTAGCCAGCGAATTAAGCTCTCGTGTGATTAGTCTCCCACACCAGATTTCGTGCCTCCTCTACCGTTTCAAATGACAACTTACTTGCCACATGGCACTTCGACCCTATGAAGGCCGTATCATTGGTATTCATTAAGAAAAGGCAAAATCCCTCTGACTCCGCCTAAACCCTGGAGCTACTAGCAGTGCATGGACATACAATCATACAGCCTCGGTTTAAAGAATGCATTGGCAACTGAAGTCGCTGAGAATGACACTCAATTACCTTGAAGTGGTTTTGGATTGCACGGGCTTTGATGTGGGTGAAAATATCAACTCGGTGAAAAGGTGGGTTTCAGTAGATGAAATATATAAGTAAGAAAAGAGAACAATTACCAGTTGACTGAGAGTCGACTATCATAAAATTGAACATCAAAAAATGCGGATGGGGGAGCAAGAGGGGAAAGAATGTTTTAAGGTGGAACAATTAACTTTTGTACAAACTATCTGTTAGAAAAGGTAGAATCCTCAGGGGAACTGAAATAAGAGTAGCGGTAAACGCCCAAACGGATGAAAGGCGGACTAGGCGCTGGTTCGCTCTCCACTTTAGAGGGTTGATTAAGCTGTATCATCCATTCTTCTTAGATGATTACTTCGGTTTGTGAAGGGACGTCTCATTAACTCGAACACACAATTTGCGATAGCCTGAGACGTGAAGTCAATAGAGTGAAGGACAAACGAAAGTAATATTAACAGACAGGTAGTTTGAAATAATTTTGTTTCAATGATTAAATGCACCCTCAAAAAGGGGATCACATGGGAGATCTGAGGCGAGACTGAGAATTTGCAAACAAACACATAGTGGTTGCAATGATCGACATAAAATACTGTTTCGCCACTCAGTATTCAACGACTGACTGGCATTATCTGTGCATCCAGCTAAGGTGAATTGGCCGCATCTAGACAAGTCCCAATCTCTCAGACACCTGATCCCCCACTTACACTGCGAGGGAGATGAAGGTTGGGGTTAGAGAAACTTGATGCACACCACCCGAGTTAAGTCCATTTCCAAACGTTTGACCAAATTTATTCTGCAGCATTCTGAGGTGCAAGACGGAGCAGCAAAGGGCACCAAGCAAAAATCCATTCGTTTAAACAAAATAATCTTTGTGATGAGTCACAGCATAACGATGCATTATGGTGTGAAGGCACCTCTAACCTTGATTGCAAGGAATTACGTGTCACTGTTGACACGTTACTTCAAGTGTAATGTGTCAACAGCAGCTTCCCTTAGCATCTGACACAAGTTACGATACACTTCATTTACATGACATTGGTAAAATGATGGCAGTCAAACATGTGCGCCAAAATGCATTAACGCATGACAGATAGAAGACCACAAAAGCAACTAATGTGCAGTTCGTTAGCCCCCTGTGGAAATGAGCTATTGGGAGAAAACTAATTGCCGACTGACTTGAGATGCTAAATGCCTTTCTTTTGTTA